ATTGCACAAATTATATTTATTTATATTCATAAATTGGGAAAATAATATAACTTTTGATGGAATGATGATTTTTGATGATTTTTCTAATCGATAATTATAGGTATCGATAGAAGAATGTGGTAGATCAATAAGTACTGAAAAAACGAATACGAATGTTCAAAAATTACCTCGATTACGTAACAATTTATATTTATTTATATCGATAAATTGCAGAATGATATAACTTTTAACATCCATATTGTAGAATTTCAGTTACACGACAAATTACGTTTATTTATATCGATAAATTGGGAGAATAATAATTCCAACTTTTGATGAAATGGAGGAGGAGGAGGAGTATATGAATTCTCGAATAATTTTTTGATAATTTGACTACAATCAATTTGTAAGTATTGAAAAACGAATATTCAAAAATTAATATTCGATCACATAACAAATTATATTTATTTATATCGATAATACATGCGAGGATATAATATAACTTTCGACTTTTGATGAAATGACGATTTCTGATGATTTTTCTTCGACAATTATCGATGGAAAAAAGTGGGAGAGCGCTCGTAATCGACGGTATGCGACGGTGTTCTAATTTCTGTTATCATTATTAGTTCGAAACCTGAATAACGACGATATTGGATTCCAATCGAAATACATCGAAAGATTCGATTTCTTTGCACGACGAAAATTCGTTTAGTTGTATTTGTATTTTTCTTTCACTTTGGTAATTCACAAGTGAAACGATATTATCATGACTCTCCCATATTTACATTCTTATATCGCGTTATATCTCGGATTCTATCTAATTCTATTTTAAAAATAGAATAACTTTTTCCTAACTTTTGAACAAGGTTCATGAACCGCACTCGAACAAGGCAATCGGTGATAACCGATAAATAATGCATGAGATGCACAATTTTAAGGTGAGGTTAGAAGGGGAGATTATTTTATGGTGAAAAACGATACGATTTAACAAGTTTTGTTTTACGACGATAAATCTATTATATGAATCTATTATATTTTCGAAAAGAATGAACATTTAATTGGAAAAAGAAACCGTGTATCGATACAAGAAGGAAAGACGGTTGGAGGGAAGCAATAATTCTTTTTACACTAGTTATCATCGTTAATCACCGAAACGTCATTAACAAGAGGAATTGACTAAATAATTAACAATGGGGCAGGAATTAAGTTGAAACCAGTTTTAATGGCGTTTCTTAAGAAGGCGCTGAATAGAAAAACGTGCGCGCCATCTCCGTTTTCCATTTCAATAAAAAACCTTGAGCGTTTTTCCAATTTATTCATTTTCTTACGCATCGACCCAAACAACGAACGGATTTGTCAAATGCTGGCGTTAATATCTTAATACAACGTTGATTTGAAACAGATTTGAACAGATATCTAAGCGCGAAATCTCAATACTTTGCGCGATATTCTTTGACAAAGCGGCTAGGAGCAGTTCAGTTTATCATATATGACGTCGCATCGTTGTAAAGATAACTCGAGGATAGAGTTTTTTTTTGCACGAGAAGAAGATATTAAATCGTAACGAAATCATTGGAATCCGATGGAAGGAAGCGCGGCAACAAGGTATATCTTTTTAATTAAGATTCGTATCGCGCTGCCTCGTAGAGTTTTTCCACGATCCTCTCGCATGAGCGCACGCGACACGTTCGGGAACGAACGCGCGGCAGGAACTCGTGAGTATTTGCGCGATTCGCATATAAAACAACGCGAAAACGCGATTGTATTTTCGCGGGCACAGTCGAATCCATTCGAAAATAAAAATAATTCTGTTCACATTGATTATTTGCTGATTAGTTGAAAAGAAAAGTTTTCTTTTATTTAAAATAAGAACGCCAAACGCGATTGTATTTTCGCGGGGAAAAGTCGAATCAATCCGAAAAGAGAAAAGAAAAATATTTGTATTCACGTTATTTGCAATCTCGAAAAAAGAAAAATAATTGTATTCACGTTGATTATTTGCAATCTCGAAAAAAGAAAAATAATTGTATTCACGTTGATTATTTGCAATCTCGAAAAGAAAAGTTTTCTTACATTTAAAATATGAAACAACACGTCAATGAGAAAACGATTGTATTTTCGCGGGTACAGTCGAATCAATCCGAAAAAAGAAAAATAATTGTATTCACGTTGATTATTTGCAATCTCGAAAAAAGAAAAATAATTGTATTCACGTTGATTATTTGCAATCTCGAAAAGAAAAGTTTTCTTACATTTAAAATATAAAACAACACGTCAATGAGAAAACGATTGTATTTTCGCGGGTACAGTCGAATCCATTCGAAAAAGAAAATAATTGTATTCACGTTGATTATTTGCTAATTATTTGCAATCTCGAAAAGAAAAGTTTTCTTACATTTAAAATATGAAACAACACGTCAATGAGAAAACGATTGTATTTTCGCAGGTACAGTCGAATCCATTCGAAAAAAGAAAAATAATTGTATTCACGTAGATTATTTGCTGTTGCAATCTCGAAAAGAAAAGTTTTCTTTTATTTAAAAGAGAGGGAAGATTTGATTTCTCGTTAATGAAAATTCATACGTATATCGCAACGATCGTGAGATAAAACGGTAAATAACAGGAAGTGACTTCCTTTCCTTCGAGAGGAACGCAACGACCAATATGGTGACGCGCGGCTGGCCGCGCAACGATGAATCGATAGGAGAGCCTCTCCGTTCTCCGTTTCGTGACTGTGCAGGCATTGAAGTCACTTGCGCTCGCGCGCGAGAGAAAGATTTCTCGGAAGTGTTTCTCGTTCTCCGTGCATTTGTCACACTTTTAACATTGGCCAACACGTAGCTTTGTCATACAAATATAACATATATTTATAAAAGAATCGAAAATTTACAATTGATCGATATACACGATGTCGATATTTTTTACTTGCACACCTGTGTGTACAAATTTCCTAGTATTTTTCTTTTCTTTATTTTACTTGGTATATTAGAAAGTCTACCGCTAGAAAGCATAACGAATCGGGCAGTCTTTTGTGTAAAATTTTCACGATTCGTTTGTTATGTTCGGTAAGAATTCCTCTTCTTCTTCTTCTCTGCGAGAAGTTGCTTGCGTTAGACGAGTCGCGTTTCTACAATTTGCACGGGAAAGAAAGAAAGAAAGAAAGAAAGGAAGGAAGGATAAAGCAGTTTTATTAAGATAGGTTCGTTACATATATTTAGGGAATGAAAAATTCGGGGAAGGATGAAAGAAGGATGGGAGTTCACTCGTGGATAAAGGTTTCTTAACATTTTTAACGTAGTGAATAGATTCGTATGGTATGTATGCTCACATGTGACTGCAATTATATGACTCAACAGCGAGCCTTGCCACGCCTTCTCCCGTTTAACTTTCTTTGTTGCTATATACAGAAAGCTACCTATATTCGAGATGCTGTGCGCGTTAATAGGTGTACGTGAACTTATAAAGATAATAGAAGCAACGACTGGTGGATAATAGACGATGAATATCGATAAATTATCTCCCTTCTCGCAATTATAAATTAACGAG